ATTAGCCAATGAAAATTCAGTGATATGGTGGAAGAAAGACAGCTCCAAGCTGACCTCTATTCCAGATGCATTTAACCTCCTCACACCTCATTATCAGAGGGCTATTAAATTGCAGAGAACCCAGAACAGCCACAAAAATGATAAAGGAGCTGGAAGCAATTATTTGTAAGGAAAAAATTGAAAAGCTATACATGTACATATTAAAACAAAACAAAACACAGATATATCCAGTAGTCCCTATATGCAGAAACATGGTTTGTTGATAAAAACAATTCTGTAACCACACCAGCAGCCTTGGCTCATCAGTGCAAAGTTCATACTCAGTTCTTCACACCAACTCCATTCTGTCCTTGCTTTCAGCAATAGTTTTACATAAGTTAAAATGAGCTTCTGTCAGCCTCTCACCCACTCTGGACAACTTAAGACTTCAACCCTGTGTATGGGACAGCATAACAAGAGTATGTGGGGGAAGGAGGCGGAAGAGAGAACAGAGGGGTTTCTATGCTCCTGTGTTAACTTTTAACACTCTCTCCCCTTAGTTACAAGCAAATCTGTTTCTTGCGCAAAAGAACAATGACTCACCACTTCTGTTATTTAAACAAATGGAAAAAACTCCATCTGGGCCAGGATGTTAGCAGCCAAATTGTATTTGTCTGAACTCAGAGGTCCATTTGATAATAATAAAAGTCCTTGACCTACAAAAAGGAAGTGGAGTTAATATGAGTGATCACTCTATAGCCAAACTTCTAGCTCGGGAATCTGATCCAACTCTCCAGTATGAAAGGTATTTGAAAAGGTGGCTATATCAATCCAAACTGGTGAAATTTGGCAACACTGTGAAGAGACAGAAGCTGGAACTGAAAAGCATTTTAAAAGGGGCCTGCTGCAAGTAGTTATCATCTCTTCAAAACATGGAGCTAGGGTAATACAGATTTATTTCCCAAACATTCTTGTCAGAATTGGGTGAGTAAGAATTTAGAGAGCACATTGTGTCTTCAGGAAAGTGACAAATACCTAACTGATGTGCGCTGCATACGCAGTTGGACTCCAACTTCTTTTTATATCAGAGCCACTGATTATGAGACTCTTAGGAGGCATAGAGTGCCAGGTAACTAGAGGCAAAAGAGGTGTGGTGTGGGAACAAAAGGAGGTGGGAAAAATGGAGTGGCAGGAGGCTTGGGGTAAGTAAACTAAAAGGTTAGAGAAACATCTTTTGAGTCAGAACGCTAGAGGATGTTACAGAATGGTAAAATTCACACACACACATACCACCCCTCCCCCTCTGATTTCTCAGTTGGTGTAACCCTTGCTTAGCAAAATCCCATGCAAACCACTCTCTGACACTTCCATCTCTCACTCTCTCTCTCTCTCTCTCTGGCTCTATGGCAGCTGTGATTCTGTCCTTGCAAAGCCATACACATCCTCCCCATTCAATTTCTATTGGATATAAATCATATGTCTACAAGGTGTAATTTCCAACTTCCGGGAGATATACACACTAGTTTTGATTGAGCTCAAAAACTAAAAATGAAAGTGTAGCCAGCTCTAGTGTAGCTGTATCCTTAGTGTCAGCATGGGTGTCATTTCAACATCTTTCCTACAAGATGTAATCACCTCTGTGCTTATTCTCCATCTCCACTTCATTCCTAAACCCACTTACGAAATTTTGCCATTTGAACCTATGAAATTCTAGGATCTTATAAAGTTCCATAAAACAAGCACTCTACACCTAATTTTTGTACAGCAGTGTTTCATATTATTTTCTAGAACAGAAACAAACAAAATTCCCATATAATTTACTCTCCCTGCAAGAAACTGCAGCTGGCATAACACTGCAGCAGTAAAGATGCCTCAGTGATCTGAAAACAAAATTATAATTGTGTAATAAAGTTAGGGTTTTTTTAAATGCACAAAAATGTTTGAAACCAAACCTTTGCAAATTAAATTTCTGCACTTTAACTATCTTATTGTACCTATTACTATGTTTTTCTATTACTACCTAGTGCAGTCACTTCATTTCCAACATTATATATATCCAATATTAAAAGTCAGATTTCTTCTTTTACTGAATAGATAAATTTAATCACATTTATCCATCTCAGGCGAACCACCAAATATGTGTGTATGGATAGAACAGGAAGAAAAATCTTCTCCTGTCTCATAGGCTATGTCTAGACTGCACAGTTAAATTGGAAAAGGATACACAATTTGCGGTATACAAATTGCGTATCTTTTTCCAATTTACTTTCAAAAGAGGCTTTTCCAAAATTTGCCATTTCTACATGGTGCCAAATTTCAGAAAAAAGTGTTCTTTTGACTCATCCCTTATACCTCATAGAACAAGATTTACAGGGATGATGAAAGAGTGCGTCCACTTTTTTGATTTCTTTTATCAAAAAAGCACATGCATTCCTTGGACGCGGCATTGTTTTTCTGGGAAACCTCCCAGAAAAAGCAATGCAGTCTACACGTAGCCATAGACTTCAAAGCCAGAAGGGAATATCAAGTCTGGTTTCTGCACATTGCATGTCAAAGAACCTCCACCTTCCCGCACCACACATACTCGTGTAATAGACAAATATTCCCCTGTGGGGCAAAAATCAAAATGTACTAATTCCAGTGTAAGAAACTGCCAACTCCTTAGTAATAAAAAAGAAAAAACACAAGAGGAGTTATTAGTGCTTACTATCAAGAAGAAAGGAAGATATAAACACTAGGAGTAATTGCAAAGTAGCCTCATATAAGACAAAGCAGATATTTGCTGCCAAATTTAACAGGCCAGCCTCCACAAATTGCATGATAAGGAGAAATAACCTTATTAGGGGGATAAGCCTCACAGTCAAGCCAGGAAGTTACCGTGAAAGTTATCCTTGAAAGACAGGCTGTTCCAGCTTTACAAGAAACTACTGTATCACACTCCACTGTATGTACCTTACCAATTTGTAAGATCTCCATAAACAAGCCTTGTATGCGCTCTTGCCCAACCTGCTCTAAAAAATTGGATTCAGATGCTGAAATAGGCTGCAATAATTCTTGTAGAATATAATAATGTGATAAAAAGCTTCTAAGGTTGTTGTTATATTTATAGGACTATTACCACTCTAGGACTATTACCACTCTAACTGAAGTCAATAGGAGATATTTATATCTCACAAGCATCCTCACTAGGACTATTACCACTCTAACTGAAGTCAATAGGAGAAACACTGGAATCATTCTTAATGTTACAGGTTGAACCTCCGTATTCTGGCACTCTCTGGTCCGGAAACATCAATGGTCCGGCATGATTTTAGTTAGCCGAATGTCCACTTTTCATGGGTGTGGCCAACTTTCCTGTGGTAACATAAAGTTTGTTTACAGCCACCAGTCCTGGCTCTCAGTGTTCTGTGCTGTTATTTAGCTCTAATTTACCCCAACATGTCTTCTAAGAGTGAAAGCTTTAAAGAAGTAATGAAGAACCTGCAGCCCACAGGCTTGATGCGGCCCATCAGGGTTCTCTGTGTGGCCCACTAGATATTTTGTTTACCATTGCCCAAGTGCAAGGTTGCCAGATTCTGCTGGTTTCCATCTGTGTCGGTTTTTTCCTTCCAATATTACTGAAGTGACCCATACCTAAAGGAAGGGCACATGAAGTGAGGTGCTTGCTGATTGCATACTATGTAAACTGTGAGAGCCATGTGCTCCCTCTGCATTGAATCAAAGCACTACTACAGTTCAGTGCACACCAGGGAGGGGCCGTGTCCCTACTGAGTGGGAGAGAGTCC